CCCGCAGAGCCGCCTGCTTCCGCAGAAGCCTATAGCTCGCTCTTCCAAGCCTCAGCAGTGCCGCTACTACAAGCGATGTCAAGCACCACACCAATCTTAAGCTTTGCAAATTTTGGGGGGTTATCAATGCTCCTCTCTGGCTGCTGTCCCATACTAATTGCATCTTTTGGGGGAGTGCTCTGGGTCCGGGCTAAAAGCCGAGCTTGGTCTCTTCTCTCCGTACAGGGGGAGTACCCCGGACTCGAGAGTAATTACCGAGCTTGGAGCCCTCTCCCCGGACAGCACGCCAAATACACATAACCTTTACTCTGTTAATTATATGCAAGTGTGAACTCGTGAATTCATGTATTTTGTCAATAAGATAAAAGTGTTTTGTTGAAAGAAGCTATTTTCTAATCTATATAGATCTTTGATATGAAAAAAATATTCAATCATATCAATTGATTCCCCCCCCCCCTATATTTGGCTCTTTGAGGGGTTTACAGTAGTCATGATTTAAAAAAATAATAATTACCAGTACATTCTCTCACTAAAGATGAATCAGAAAATGCAGTGACAAACTGAATGAAATAAAGAATATTACATTTCATTTGTTTGATCATTATTTATATTATCATTCAATTACACTGTGGCATTTCGCAGCATGACAGAAGTTTAACTAATATTTTGAACCTAAGTTATCAATATCTAAAAAGTAAAAGAAGATTAAGAAATAAAAGAAGTGGGTATGAAGGTGGACAATCAGATTTGGCCCACACTCCGCAGCAGTGAACGTTCACTCAGATTTACAGGTGAAGGAATTCTCTCCAGTGTGAACTCTCATGTGAGTTTTTAGGCTACATTTATGACTAAAACTCTTTCCACATAGATGACACATAAAACAGTTTTCTAAGTGAGTCTTTGTGTGACGATTAAGGCTTACTTTGTGTGAGAAACACCTTCCACACTGACCACATATGAACTGTTTCTCTCCGGTGTGAATGGTCATGTGGCATCTACGGGTTAGTTCTGTCGTGAAGCTCTTCCCACACTGATCACATGTGAACAGCTTCTCTCCCGTGTGACTTCTCATGTGGTAATTAAAGGTGTTTTTGTGAGTAAAACTCTTTCTGCACTGAGTGCAAGTGTAAGGCTTCTCTCCAGAGTGAATTCTCATGTGGACTTCGAGGACTCCTTTTCCAATGAAACTCTTTCCACACTGTTTACAGATAAAATGTCTCTCTCCAGTGTGAATCCTCATGTGGACTGCCAGGTTTTGTTTTTGAGGGAAATTCTTTCCACACTGTTTGCAGGTGAACAAGCTCTCTTCACTGTGAGTTCTCATGTGGGAATTTAGGTTGCATTTATATGCAAAACTCTGTCCACACTGAGAGCAAGTATAAGGCTTTTCTCCAGAGTGACTTCTCATGTGGACTGCAAGGTATCTTTTTTGAGCAAAACTCTTTCCACACTGCTGGCAGTTGTAAGGCTTCTCTCCAGTGTGAACTCTCATGTGAATTTTAAGGTTTTCATTGGTAGTGCAACACTTTCCACACTGTTTGCAGGTGAAAGCGATGTCTCTATTGTGAATTCTGATGTGGACCTTAAGGCTTCCTTTTCGATTGAAACTCTTTCCACACTGATGGCAGGTAAAAAAGCTCTTCAATTCAATCTTCTGGACACTTTTTTGAGAGGAGCACTCCTTAGTTTTTCTCATTAATTTTTCTCCAATTTTGAAATCACGATCGTTCTCATTCTGCTCTTTCTCTTCCATATCCTTCAGCTCTTGACTCTCCTCAATCAGGTCTAAAATGAAAAAACAAATACAAAACCAGTTTAATGGCACAAAGAAACAGACAACAAAACCAAGAGAAGGCATCAAAATCTACTGTAATCTCAGAAACTCTTTGCTTTCAAACTTTCAACCTGGTAGTTATCAAATGCCTAGTGAAACAGAGCTTGACCAAAGGAGAGCTGCTTTATTTTCCAGCACAGTATTCATTTGGACAGCATGAGAATTGTATTGCCAATTTTGTGAACAAGCATTAGCACGGTTTAGGTCTTATCTATCCAACTGCTACCACAGGAGGCATTTCATCAAACACAAGTACAGAACGATGTTTTGTGTAAATCGTACGTAAAGCCGTTCCAACATAAACTTTAGAATTCATGAAAATTTTCACATTTTCTAAATGTTAGTGGGTACAAAAGAAATGTACCACCTGCTCCCTACCACACATAAATGGTGCGTAAAACATGGCGTGTTCTTTTCGGCAAACTGATAAGACTGAATTTTGATGCGTTAATATAACAAGTTTGTTTGCCCTGTACAACTTTGGGTAAAACGCAGTGCTCGTCACTGTCACTTTTTTATTTTAATACTAATACTATACTGCACAA